TAATTGCTACGCTAAATAAATACGGGGCAGTGTTGGGCCGGCAGACGCCATTAATGGTAATGCGGTAGAACATCTGATTTAATAAAGAACATTTATATTACTCGTTTTCCTTTGTCTCTTAAGCAGGAATAACAAGAATGAGATGTTCTTAAACGAGATTAATTTAACACAGCTAATTTGTAAGATAGATAGTTTTTTTGTGAAGAAAATACAAAGAGTTTTGGACGACAATAATCGGAGGAGTCGCGATAGTGCTGAACCTCTCCAAATTGTAGACTTCAATCACACAAAGAGCCTCACTTGTATCAAGATAGTGATGTAGCTTTGTCGATGAAGTTATAAAAAATATAAATATTACGACGGAATTATTATATCAGTACCATCCAATACTAGTTGTATGGTATTGAAAAACATCCAAATCTTTACGTAAGATTGGAGAGTAATTAAAACATCGATATGTATGTTATTAAATCGATATAATGCCCGTCACTTTATGACGATTTAGAGAAGTGCAATGTTTTTACCGCGACCTCAGTGGCTGAACAAAGATGTCAGAAGTTCATCCGACAGTAACACAAAACACCTTCAATTCCATTGTCCTATAGTTGCAATTTTAGCTGAGATTATTATAATTTTGTACCTTCGTTTACTTATTATTTTGTATAATAGTAGTTTTTAGTTGAAGCATCCATCTGCTGTTGATAATAAGACGATATGGTTTATCTTTTTAAATCTTTTTCAGTCTTTTCAACGATGCATGAAATAATTTTTTCAAATAATTTTGTTTTTTTATAATAACTGCCGTAAATATAATATAGTTTTGTTTTAATTTTATATACATATAGAAAATAATATAAATTGTATTAAATTAATAATAAATTATTTTTATAAGCTTCGTATCACTTACAAAATTAGTAAGATTTCTTTTAGTTTTTTTTAAATAACTGCACTTATTTTAAACTTATTCCAAATAATGACACTGTTTCTGATTACAAAATTGACAGTTTATGAATATAACACAGTAAATAGATTCAGAGGTGTAAAGCAGCAAGATAATCTAGTTATAATTTAGAACAGAAACACAAAATCCCATTACAAGGATTCTATTAATTTATCATGAACTTGAATGAGGTCTTAATTATTAAAGATCCTTCCCTTTGTTCAAAACAAAGAATTGCCTAAAGTAATCTCGAAAGTAATTTTGTACAGACGCTTTCTCGGAATTATTTGAGTATATTGTTTAATTTCATTCATATAAATAATATATGTATATTGTTAAAATACGTTTTTTTATTGTTTAGTAAGAAATAATGATGGTATAAAATTATTTTTACATCGATTTTTCCATCAATGTGTTTTTTTTTTGTTAATTAATTTTAAGTGATGGTTACAATCTCATTTATTGTTTAACATCAGATATTTATCTAAAGTAATTAATTACTTCCTTAATACAAATACTTTCATTTGTTTCTACATGACATATTTCGTTATTATTTATATAGATGATGAATAGAATTGATTTTATTTTGTGCTAATAGAACAAGTTTCCATAGTTAGAAAAAATACGAAGTTTTTGTTGCTTGTGTTAAGTGTGATGATAAAACTTAGGGTAAGCTAATTGTTCTTATCATGATCTTACAAATAGTTATTTGAAATCTTATGAATGCTCTGTCTTTACACATTTTACATTCAAGTGCAATTTAAAAATTTAAGAGTCAAAATTTTTCTTCTCTTACCTCTGGAATGCGATATATAATTGTAAAGTTACAATCTTTTCAGCCAAACCACTCCCAAGCTCGAGATTCTGTGCTTCTAACAAAATCCCATTAAATTAAATTCTCGGTTTGACAACCCTATATCTTTACTTTGCGTTTGAAAATAGTTTTGAGTGTAGTGTAGCGCTTAGAAATGGCAAGTTGAATCCAAAAGAACACGCTTTCAACAAACTTATCCCGCAGTTTTATTGAGAAATTGAGTTTTGGCCTTTTTCTGGTCGGAATGTTTCAGCACTTTACGGGCTTGTTAAGAGGTATGTCGGTAAAAGGAAAAAGATTCCGAATTGGCACATTCACTACTCTGTTTCTACTAAATTATAGTTCTACTTACAGTTATATAAGTTTTAAACACGCGATTCAATTTTTCAAGTTAAAGTATCCATTAAGATGCTATCATAAACATTTATTTGAAGGTTAAATCTTTAACTGGGACGTGATTATCGCTAGCTAATACAAGCTGTTTAGTAATTAGACTGTAATATAATGTTTTATTCTTAACTAGCTTTCCGCCCGCAGCTTCGCCCGCGTGGAGTTCGGTTATATTGCGTTTCCAAGAGAACCTTTTACAAGTCTGCGATTAAAACTATCCTATGTTCTTTCTCAAGGTCAACTCTATATTTGTACCAAATTTAATTAAAATCAGTTCAGTGGTTTAGGCGTGAAAGCGTAACAGATAGACAGACAGACAGAGTTACTTTCGCATTTTTAATATTATTATTAGTAGGGATTTCTTTCAATATCAGAATGTTCTAAGCATATAATTGGTGGAACATATATCAATGATTTATCAAGCTGGCCTCGTTTACATCTGTGTATGAAATTTAAATAGTTTTGAATTATGTATCGCTTTGATGATTACCTGTAAGGTATATCGCTAACATAAAGCCACTTGTGCATACTTAAGCAATTACTTAAGCTTGCTTAAATATTTAAGCGAATAAGACGCGGAGTCAACTTGCATGTTGCCATTTTTATTTCACGACACGACAAAAATACTTTAATCATTTGTTTTAAGGAATTTTTTAAATATTTATGTTCTATGTAATATTTGCTATAACAAAAATTTTGTTAGCAATCATTGTTTTATAATTTATATTTAATAAATTGCGACATAATGTCGTATAGTATAAATGTTTCGAGCCACTCCACTCATGTAGCAATGGTAGTATGCATTACATTTATAGCGTTACTCTATGATATGCAAATTGGGAGTACTTTGATTATTAAAAATATATTATGACATTATTTTACAAGTTTATTGTAAAATTTTATAACGTATATGTTATTCATAAAATCCTTGAACTGAAATTACTTTGTTATTTTCAAAAACTAGCGATAAAAAAACCGTACCTACTCAATCGAATTTAAAAAAAAAATATATTTTTGTTAAGGGCCAATTTGTCATTGCAATTGTAGATTTATTTTTAAACGAGATTTTCTAAGAGTAAGTCGGTTTTACGGAATATTAATGTTTTCTATAGATCAAATAATACTCATTATATACCTTAGTGAACAGTCTCACTTCAAACAGCTTGTACCTATAGCTCAACTTCAGATTATTTTAAAATCGTTGATAGTCATAAACACACCCAATGTGAGAATCTTCTTTTTGAAGTTACCGTCGCCCATGGACGGATATGTTGCCACCCTTGATTATGGAAGAGGGGGAGAAAAAGTGGGAAAGGGAGAGAAAAGGGAAGGATTAGGAAAACATGGGAAAAGGAAAAGGGCAACCGGCTCTCTCACTTATCGGATGAAACGCAGCCATTAAAGGCTACTTCACGCCGATCTTCTGTGAGAGGGTGGTACTTCCTTTGTCAAGCCAGTCCATGTTCGAGCTGTAGTAACTTGACCACAGCTAGGCTCTACCACCTATAAAACTATTTGTTTTAATTAATGTACGACAGTAGCTTGTACAGAGATTTGCTGAAGGGTAAGCAGAATACGTATGAAAAATTAAAATACCAATTTTCATCAATTCCTTTCTAAAATATGGATAATAATGAGATTTACGAAAGTTTTCATTTAAATGAAACTAATATTTTGGGATTACTACTACAAATAGTTATTTAAACCAATTGTCTGTAGTAGCTGCTACCAAGTGGTTTGGGTAAGTACTGGTGGGTTGTAGATAAGTGGGATAATAGATAAGGATCTAAGTGTATTGGTCAAATTAAATGATTGTTTTATAATATCAATCTTTATTGTGAAAACGTAGTACAAAGTGTTTACTTACTACAATTTAATTCTTATAGTTTATTTAACGGCACAGCAAAATATAAAAATATATATGTACATGTATATCGGATATATAATTTATATATATTATATATTTTAATATATGTATACATATAATGGTAAAAGATTCTTCATATATTTTTATTAGATTCAATATTTATAAAAGTGGTCCCAATAACAGGAGCTTAATATCTAAAATACTGCTTATAAGTAATCAATGTGTAAGTACATTTTTTTGGTTTCTTTTTTATGTTTTAATATAATTAAGTAGAATTTAGCTCGTGTAAATAAGTAGTTTTTACATCTAGTATTATATTTGTGGATATATTATAATGTATAGTTAAAAAAGGCTTATACGACTAATTACTGTTATATGTATAAGTAATCATCATTTGTAAATATTAAGTAAAATATTATACATACATACATTCAATTCAGAAGATGTGGATGATAATTTTTATAAAGACTCTTCATTATCTCATGTTCCATATATATTTTTTACACAAAGTAAAGCTTGTGGTAAGTTTTTAAGTTTAATATATTATTGTAATATATGTATATTCTTCATCTAGAATAACTTTTGGGAATATCGAAACGTTTGTTTACAATACATTGCAATAATTCGAGTTGTTCAGAGAATTATGGCTGTCGTCACATACAATACAATTTAAACGAATTTCATATTAAAATACATTGTCACTTACAAAAGGATACGAACAATGGATCCTTCATTGTAAGTTTTACGATGAAAGTTGACGATTGATATAAATCTCATTCAGAAATTTATTAAAGAAACCTTAAGATATATTATTCTGATTAATCAATGAAGATTTCAATTACGTGGCACAAATTTGTGTACAAATTTGTGCCACGTAATAAACTTAGGCCATCACACACTGTTAACAAAAATATAACAAAACCATCTATTCAACAAAAATGAATGGAAATTTCTCTAGCTATCACAAAACAAACATAAATTAAACAGTTTTAGGTGGAATCAGTTCTGGTTTTCATTTTAGAGAGTTCTTCGGCTTCTTCTATGGTGTCAGGTAACCTCATGTTCCTTGTTTCAGGTAACATAATGACCAGAAGACTTGATATGAAACACATTCCACCGAATATTACCGTCGGCATTGATTGATGGTACTGCGACTGAAATATTGTTTTTATGTAACAGTAGAATAGTAGAATACTTCTACTGAAGCAATGTAGAATAATGTAGCACAGTACAATCTTTCTATTGAAGCAATGTAGAATAATGTAACAAAGTAGAATCTTTCTACTGAAGCAATGAATTGATATTATTATCACAACAAACGTTCAGTGTACTTAAGTAGCTATATAGCCTTTCTTGTATATATATATAATCTATGTTTGTGTGTGTATATATATATATATATATATATAGTTGAAATTCAATGAAAATAATATATTTACCAATAACGGCGTCAGCGGCGCTATCAATGATCCTATCCTGCCAGCGGTAGAGCAGAAACTGATGAGCGTCTGTCTCATGTTAGTTGGGAAGACTTCGGAGACGTAGATGTACACTGAACTGTATGTGAGTGTGACGCTCCACTTACCGATCAGGTACAGGGGCAGGGACCACCAGTCAGCTGTCAGGGGAGAGAGTATTCAATACACTTGTGTACATTATGAGATTCTGTTTACACAAAATGGAATTATCAAGTTTTTGTGTGAATTTGCGTAAAGAGAATTCATAAAATTTGATACTTATGTGCGTATTTTCAATTAAAATTGATCTAAATACTCTAAGAAAGTGCATATGACTCGGAAAAATTACATTGGTACTTGCCAGGGCCAGGATCGAACCCGCGCCCTCTTGCATGTGAGGCGGGTCTTTTAACCACTAGGCCACCACTGACTTTTATTTATGTAAAACATATCTAAATTAATATATTAAATGCAAAATTTAGCACTGAAATCTTTTCTATGTGATAGTCTTAATTTGTACAATCGAGGTACATATACAAATTATAAATACAAGCGTAAATGACGAAAACAAATTTATTGTTTTGATGCAAATATTCTAAAAATACATACAATCATCATATATTTATTATACTTACGCAACAAAAAACTATGTGTGTTGGCTTTTAAAATTTAAAATAAGGAAGTAGGTCACCCAATGTTTAACAGAGAATTCGTTTAGTTCGACAAAAATTATTTATAATTTATCATTAGTCAGACAATGAAAAAATCGTAATACGATTAATGATCTAATAAAATGCCACCGTAAGAAGCGAATTTCTGTTTTAAATACATATAAAAAATATCATTCATATATTCTAAGTCTTACTAAGACTAATGTTTATTTAATTATGTTTCTATATATAATCGTACATATATTTTCATATATTTGTTGTGTTTTTTCTTTTCTATAACTAAATTCAATCGATTAATAAATGAGAATTTGACTCGCTAGGTTTACGTGTTTACTGACATACCGTGAAAGATCGAATAAGGGTTTCATATAATTACGTTTAATAAAAATAATCCTCTTTATTTAATATATGTATGATATTAATTGTAAAAAATAAGAAAATTTATACTCACATCTAGGTAGAAATGCGAAAAGCAAGCTGGTAATGGAACAGGTCAGGAAATTAGCTATCATAGTCTTCTTCCGTCCGTACTTATCCAACACTATGACCACAACTATGTACGCTGGTATCTCAACAAGAACGACCAGCATGAAGCTGACATACTTGTTAGAGCTTAGCGAAACCGAATTTATTGATAGCCCGTAATAAACCAAAGAGCAGGTCATCCATAGGAATGAGCATATCATTAGTCTTTTCCATATTATGCTTGAACGTATAGCTTTTGATAGCTGTGATTTCTTATCGACTGTCTGACTATCCGTTTTTAACAAAGGATCACACAATGAATCCAATTCTAGTATTCGAGGATCAAGATTGTTGATTTTGGCAGCTTTCTTTAACGTCGTTATAGCTTCATCCTTCCTGCCTTTACTGAGCAACCATCTAGCGCTTTCGTTCATGAACCAGACATAAATTCCGACCATGATGGCCGGACTGTATAGAATTAAGATGTAGTGCCTCCAATTGTTCACGAACCAAGCTAATAGCGCTATAAGTACTACTCCAACGACGAAGGTCATGTTACACATCGCCGATACTATGACTCTTTGCTTTAGACCAACTAGTTCAACCGCTGTAAAAGAAACAAAAATACTAATCTCTCTAATCGCTAATGAATTTACACAATAATATAAACAAATATCTAAGTTGAAATATGAACGTTAATGGTATAGACACTTACCAAAAACGTAAGCTGATGGATATAACCCTCCTCCCAAAGCAGCTTCAAAGAAATGCATCGTAAGATAAGTGTAGTAATCTGGAGAGAACGCTCTCGCTATGCCAAATATGAAGCTGGCAGTCGCAGCTAAACCAACAGCCACTCTTCTTCCATACCTATCTGATATTGCTCCTGTGACTAACATAGCTGCGAACATCCCAGAGTTGTGGACTGTCCCAACAAGAGCTCTCATCCATTCCTTGCAACCTAAGTCGAACTGAAGGAAATATCTTAAATAAAAGCCACAAAAGAAAAATAATGCATATAATATACGATTTTTCTCAACTTCGATAGTCTTCAGATAGTGTGATCTATTTTGTTGGGAGTATTCATTGAAATAAAACACATTTTTCAAATTTACTACGCGTTTAAAATTATTTTTAACAACATACTCCCGACGTTTCGGTTACTTTGCAGCAACCGTGATCACGGAGAGACGAGATGTGAATGTTTACATATAAACACGTGTTAAATCTAAAAAATATTAGTTTTATTTCGATAGTCTTTTATATGCATTTAATACACTACCTCTTTAACAAAACTCTCGCCCGGTTCGTAAACAAAACTTTCGCATGGTTCTGTTTTGTTTGAGAAATCTTCAGGTACGCATTGGTTCGACGTGACATTGTTCAGTGCATACCTCAAACAAGATTCTGGTCTATTTTTCTCATTGTTTGTTGGTATCGCGTATTTCAACCAGGATGTATCGTTGAATCTTTCCTCGCATCCATATATTTTACATCTAATACAAAGAAAATTAATCACGTAATTATCATAATATAAAAAAATAATTAGATATTTTTATATGGCTCAACTAAATATTAATTTTTATGTATGAATCACCCAAAACAGACAAGAAATAAAGCTTTCTTATGATGTGATGCTAAAATATTCTTGATTTAATTAGCTTATATCTTGTATTATCAATTGCCAAATCTATTCCATTGTTAGGATTAATAGGCATTTGGTATTGCATTATTGATCTGTCCGCTTAAACCTGATACCGTTATCAGTAAACCCGTATAATAGATACATATCTATAGATATAGTTATATAATCTATTAAACTTAGACGAAGATTTGATCCATATTAATACTTAAAAATATAAAGATTTCATTGAGATGTAATTAATTTTGTTATTCTAATTAATTTTCTAGATACAACAAATGCTTTAATTTAATTGGTTTCTTTGTACTATTTTAGCTGGTCATAATTATTTGATATTCATAATGCGTAATAAGCTAGACTAATAATAGATAAACGAGGTTTTCTCATACTTATATACTTTATGTAAAACAGTTTTGACTTTTAGATCGTATTAATCCTATCGTATCCATTAATATTGATTTCAAGACTTGCGGTTAAATGGGGTTAATGACACAAAGACAAAATATATAGATTACAAGTAATATACATTACACATAAATCCAAGGATATTTTAACCTTGCTACGAGTTCGTATCGTTAAATAAATACGGACAGTTTTTAGTTCGTCACTCGTAGTTTTTCGTATGCAATATTATCAACTAAATAAATTACTGAAGGAGTGGAATAAAAAATTGTTTACCATTCGACGATAACGAACTTATAGTAAAAATACATGATTTAAAACAGATATATAGAGATGCCCTAAGTAATTTACATTTATAATTATGAAACTGTCAGTTTTATAGTTTGATTTATATATTAAAATATAATATACTGACAGTATCTTCATTAATGTTATTTTTAGTTCCTACGAAGTCCTTTCTACACAAAGATCTTAGTAATATATGATAATGAGATAATTATGAATCCAATGAGAGATTCCTTTGTAGGTTGCTCGTTATTATAATTCGTTAATTAACTTATAAATCATTGATCGATGTCAATATTTACATATTAATAAAGGGACTTTATTGTGATATTTTTCTAAGTGTCACTTTATTCTGAATGAATAATGTAGTTTTGAAGATATTTATAATGTTTTCCAATTGCAATTTATTTACAGACTAAACCAAATAAGAGATATAATATATATAAAAAAATCATATTTATTGAGATATATAAACATTATGAGAATGGTTTGAAGTGATCGTAAGTTCAATAAATTTCATATTCAACAAAAACGGGTAGTTAAAGTTAGTTTAGAATATCTTTACATTCTAAGTTAGTTTTTTATAACATCAATTATGTTTATTACCTGTATGTTTGTTCCTGTGCTTCGAAGATGTAGCCGCATTCAAAGAAACTGCTCAAAAGTACCGGGAAAAGCAACAGGACGAAATTCAAAAGGTTGTAACGTCCGTAAGGTCCAAGACTCTCGAGCACTGAATCGAGTTTGATTTCTTTCTTTTCCATTCTTGCTTTTACTTTGATAACGTCAGATTCTGGAAATGGATGGAATGTTGTTGCATTCTAAATCTGGTACTATTACGACAAAAGGTCCTTTGTCCGGAAAAGTTAGCTTTTAGATTAATTCTGGTTGGAATTATATTAATACTGTTAGAGTTAAAGGGTGAAAAGTAGGCGATAAGTATTTACTGGATTTATCATCAGTTTTTATTATTGAATTTCTGATATTTTTTTCCAAACAAATGGCTGAATTTGCGGAAAATTAAATGGTATATAAAAACAGATTTTTTCATAATAAATAATAACTATAATATAGATATAAATGGTATGTCTTAAAGGACACATTACCTTTAGAATTCTGGGACATCTGATTTAATATAGCCCATATTAGTTCGTAAGTCTAAGATAATCATACTATGAAGATTAAAGGGTTAGTGACTATTTACTCTTAATTACTCAATTGACCTCTCTTTATGGGTGGGCAGATGAGTTACGACATGAGTTATATAGCGAGGAATTTTAAATAATTACTCATTATCTTAAGTGCTAAAGCATAAATTCTTCTATTAATATTTTCCTTTTTATAGATTACTTTGTTTGATAATTTATAAGCAAGTATAAATATACGTTTATATATAAAAAAACTATGGCGTTTGTTCATAATTTGAGTGTAGTTTCTGTTTTCAAGGTATGGTTTTCAGTATCATGACATGGGCAATATACTCACCAACATGGTTCTGTATACAATATACTAAAACAATTAGTTTTTTTTCTTCTCACATTTTTCATTGTGTTTTATTTTATCGTTTCATTGAAACATCAGATTTCATTAATCTTTTTACTTAAACGAGACATTTTTTTTTAAAGTAAACGCCAATTAATCGATTGGTTAATAACATTGCTAATTCATATTCAGTTAACGAAAATATCTATAGTAAATATGTACCAACTGATAAAGAATAAAAATTGTATATAAAATTCTTTATATTTTTATATGTGTTTGTGTTAAACGCTCACTAAACTGTAAAGATTGTTATCTGAATGCAATCATTTTTAAAATGCGTCATTATAAAACAAACATTATTATAAGAGTTCTCAAATTATACATAGTATTGTATACATGTGATGTTTGACATCATGTGAGTAAGAACAGAATGTAGCATATAATGGTTTTGGTTATTATTTTTAAAAATGTATGAAGCATATTGTTTAACATAAGCAATGAAGTCCTTTTAAGTAGCATTACATTTTTTTTGGTTTTCTTTTTTTTGGAAATATTTACAGTCGTTTTATAGGCAAGATATAAAGAAGAAGAAAAAAATGTTTAGTCTGATATATCTAAAAAATACGACTGTTTTGTGGGTTTTATAGATATTTTTTGAGTTTACTTCTGAAACGCTACAAACCGACTGACAAGTTGATTTAAGTTTTTTACAAATTGTTATATAAAATTAATTATCATATTATAATGACAAATGTCTATATTCTTCGATGTGCGTCATTAAAAAAATATGTTTTAGATAAAATTTTAAATCAATAAGCATTTGAATGTCATTCGAATACTGTCATTTCGCTCATCTGAAAGTTACGGTTGAAAACATTGATTTATTGGCTATTACAGGATAAATCGCTTCTTTTCACAAAAATTATACTAAAATACAATGGCCCCATTATTTTTTAAATTCTTTTGTTTTTAAAATTAAAATTTTTCACTAAATTTACTCGGTTATTTCACCGTCTGCTGACAATTATACAATGTCCTTGATGTATCTTACTTAAAGCAATCCTCCCACACTTTATAGAACAATCACCAAGGCCGTATTGTTTACTTACATTTATAATGAATAGTATAGAATAATTTGTAGACGCCGGCGCTGAATATTTTATTTGCATTCGTCTTGTCTTAGTAAACAAATTTATTAAATTTACTTCTTCTTCTTCTACTTGCCATTTTGCAGCTTTTAACCAGGGTTTGCCTTACATGTTGTGAATAGTTTTAGCTAATTGTTTTTACAACCTGCCGTCTGCCTGACATCAACCCTCTTTGGGAATGCATTAATCAGTGAGGTCAGAATACTTAGAAAGTACATATGACTCGGAAAAATCACATTATAATTTATTAAATTTACTATAGCTTCAATATATACAACTATACGATTTAGTTTGCTGACTAGACTTAATCATTTGACTAGTTATGGCATGCGATTTTTTCTACGAGTAGTTTATAGTGTTAAAGAGAATATAAAAGCAACTGACAGCGACATCTATGTTTCTGATTTATGTGACCTCGTCTACAATACATCTGTTTTGCTTTAATCTAAGGGGCCATCCATAAAATACGTCACACTAATTTCATGAGTTTTCGAGCCCTCCCCCGTCCTTGTCACAGGTGGTCACATTTTTGAGACCCCCCCCCCTCCCTAGCGTGACGTCACATGTTTTGCAATTTAACATCGAAAAATTATTAAATTAAAACAGCAGTTTTATTTCCATTTAAATTAAGTACTTTTTATAAAATCAACATAGTATCAAATATTTGAAATAATAACAAAAAAATAAACTAATGAATATATATATAGATGTGGTGACGCGCTCAGTTTTAAAGATTTTAATTAATATTTCAAATTACGTGATTAGTACCTCTAGATTTTGAAATGTGATGTCACGAAACTTAGGAGCCCCCCCACCCCTTGTCACACCATGTCACACTTTGTCGACCCCCTCCCCCCCCCCTTTACGTGTGACGTAATTTATGGATGGCCCCTAATGTGAACTACGCTTAATTCGATGACAAATAATATTATATATCATAGGATATATACATACAATAGTGTGATGTTTAAAGTAGATTGCTTTAATATTTCACAAACTTTATACACCCCTACTAATATTATAAATGCGAGAGTAACTCTGCCTGTCTGTCTCTTACGCTTTCACGCCTAAACCACTGAACTGATTTTAATGAAATTTGGTACAGACATAGAGTTGACCTTGAGAAAGAACATAGGATAGTTTTTATCCAAGACTTTTGAAAGGTTCTCTTGAAAACGCATTATATCCGAACTCCAGGCGGACAGCTAGTTTATTATATAATTTGAATGTACAAATTGAAATGAAATGTGCATTGAAAATGAATCCAGCAGTAAATATAATGTATTGAGTTAATACTAAAGTATAAATGAAAGATTAGTATACAATAAAAAGTCATAAAAATATTTGAAGTCTCGCCTATTAATATCTATATAAAATTATTGACATCTCACGAATGTAAGTGTGTCATGCTCGACACTTACTCAATACTTGCAGACCTTGTATAATGATTTTATATCTGTATAAATGAAACATATATATACACATAGACAATTTTATATAAAAATACAGGGAATATACGTATCGTCGGGGATAGTGCAAATCCGCGTAACCACCATTGGATAATTCCGCGTATCTACATTGGAAGCAGATTATCAGAAGAGAGTTTGAATTGAAATATTTTCTGTATCAACGACGTTGAAGGTAATTTTTTTCAAAATTAGTAATTATTTAGTATTTAATTTATGTTCGCGGAATTATCCAACGGTAGTTACTCGGATTTGCACCACCCCGACGATATGTATATCTTTATTTTAATTTTTAATTATATATTTTTGATATGATAAAAGTATTTATGTATAATTGAACATGATCGTGTGTAAGGAGCTTTACTTGCACGTTGTTCCATCGTGATCAATTCCTTCAATTTATCAAACCTCGCCTCTTATAAAATATATTTGTATAATATGCAAAATATTTCTCATTGTTGTTATTGTATTAATAATATCATTTATAGATTTTACTAGAATGTTCTTTGACAATTTATCACTTAAATTGATGATTTTTTTTTTGTTTTACATCAGCCATTTTTTGATTTTTAACGTTTTCCTGTGTCTATTTTCTTAAAGGAAAATTCTTCTTAATATTTTAACACAAAAATAAATATTCTTCAGCTTGGATTTACTATCAACGGCCTCATTTTTACTTACCGACAGTGCGTTTGCCAATAGCTTGCATTATCACATTTAGTACGAAGAGTTCCTCATTTTGTTCCGATGACATGTACGTTACTTCTTACTATATTATACGAAGACTTTTGAATAAAAAAAATTAAAACTGCGTATATAGTCTTCTTCTTCTTCCTGGCACTTTCCCAACTTTAGCCAGGGTCTACCCTATATGTTGTGAATAGTTTTGGCTAATTTTTACGGCCGGCCGCCTGCCTGACATCAACCCTCTTTTGGGAATGTATTAATCAGTGATGTCTAAATACTCTTAGAAAGTACATGTGACTCGGAAAAATCACAATGGTACTTGCCAGGATCGAACCAGCGCCCTCATACATGAGAGGCGGGACTTTAACCACTAGGGGCCACCACTGACTAAAACTACGTATGTATATAGTGTAACGATGTAACTTGCGGTAAATTACAGTGATGCATTATTAAGTAAATAATTTAAACAAATCCATAACGTATTGACAAGAAGTTAAAAATACATATGTAAAATTAAATCGTATTAAATTGACTTTCCTTTTTATAGGAATTTTATAATATGAATTACATGATTGTTAAAATGAATGAAACATGTAAAATTTTTGAAAATAAAATAATGCATACCATTTAAAATGTTTTCAATAGAAAAAAAAGTAAAATACGAAAAACAGAGTCGGTTAAAATATGTATGAATGTTATTTTATTTATTTTAATTAAATTTTAATTCAGCTTACATTGTTAAATCCTGTATTATATCTAAATATATATTTTTTCTCATTCTAAAGGCCTTTTTAAGCACATTTAGAATATAGTTCAGTCATCTGTAGTATTTATTTTCCTGGGTTATTAATAAAAATGTCCCCTACCATTGTTAAACGAAAGGTTACAATAAATTATTTTATAATTGGTTAATATACAGTGAGTAATTATTATATATCATTAATTACAGTTTCATTAGTAATAGGAGTACGTAATAAATAT